TTTTTCTAAAATCTGGTGATTCTTCGTTCGAAATCTTCGTTTTCTAAAAATTGGCTGTTTTAATTAAAATGGGACATTTTGTATATTTTGTATATTTTTTACACATTATAATAGAGTAAGAATGTAAAAATAATATAGATCCATTGTTACATATATATGATTATGAAATTTTTTTATGTTCTTGTAGGTCTGTTATTTGCTTAAAGAAGTTCAAGAAAGTCGTACTGGTATTCGTGTAGAAACCAGAGATTTATCTTCTTCTATAGACACTGATGACATTTTGTCATCGCAGATTATCAGCAAGAAATTAGTGACTTTTAAAGACATTGAGGAATTGCAGGAGAACAATCAAAAACTCTTAGCAGTTGTTCGCGCATTGTCATCCAAACAAGAGGAAATTGAACGAGCTACTGATGAAATAAATTCAGGCGAAATGAAAGAGAAGCTTGATCGTTATATGGAACAGTTGACAGAAATGCAAGCTGCGCAAGAAAGACAATCAAAGATGTTGGATGGTCTTTTGAAGCAGAGAGACATGTACAAGAATATGTATCAACAAATAAAAAATTCCAATGAAAAGAGAAAGGAGGAAATAGGAAAGGATATCGAAGCGTCCAAACTAGAAGAGGAATCCAAAATAGTGAAAAATGATGAAGAAAAGCAAGATTTATCCAAAAAGTTAAAAGAGACTGAGGATAAATGTAAACATATTTCAGATGAATATGAAATATATCGAAAAGAACGAACCGCGCATGAAAAGATGTTAAGTGAAGAAGTTGAAAGACTCAGGAAAGAGGCAGAAGCAAATTCAGCGAGATGTTGTAGATTGAGAGCGCAGTTGGATTCGGCAAACGAAAGATTCACGCTTTTACAAGGAAATGTTGCTTCTTACAAGTCCCAAATCAAAACACTTGAAGAGAAATGCACTAATTACAGTGTCACCATTAGCAAACATGAACAAAGTATTATGATTTTAAAAGATGAAACACTTGCAGCTCAAACTCGTTTATCACGAGCGGAAGTTCAACTAGAGAACCTTCGTCAAGAACGCCAACTTCTGCGAGATTCTGAGGGACGTCTTCTAAAAGAACGAGAGATTTATCAAAGAGAAAGACAAACTCAAGCTTTACTTAAAGCAGATATGGAGTCTATTAAGGCTAGTTTAGAGCGAGTCCAGGCTGAAGGACAACTAAGAGCCGAGCACAGACTCGATGACGCCAATAGAGAGTGTGCGGCTCTTCGACGCCGTCTTCAGGAAGAACAAGATCGTTTCAGAGAATTGGCAGGTCATTTAGAGAGACAGTTAGCAACCGTTCAGGAGAGATTAAAAGAGGAACGTGAGTTGAATGAAAGATTAAAAACGGAGCTGGATCAAGCAAGAGAAATTGAAGCTCAAAACAGTCAAAAAATTGATCAATTAAACAATAAACTGAGACAAGTAGCCGCCCATTCCATTGCTAAGCCCTTGACGGGTGATGAAGGTCTCGTGAAGAAAGTAAAGGAATTGGAGATGCAACTGAGCGCCTCTGAAGTCGAAGCAAAGTCACTCTCTGAACAATTAAAGGCAGCTAGACAACAGAGTCAACAATATTGCGACATTGCTGAAAGCGCTGAAACACAACTAAGAGAATTAACAGTCGAATATAACAAGTGTAAAGAAGAACTAGAGAACGCTCTGAAAGAATCGCGAGTAGAGGTTATTTCATTACAGAAAAGGGTGAAGGAACTGGGTGATGATTTGGCGAAGATGTCAAATGGTAAACAAGAAACCGATTCAGAATTAAGAGATAGATTGGCTGAGGCCAATAGAAAGCTCGAAGAATTGGATGAATTAAAAGTTGAATTGGAATTGTTAAGAAACGATCTAAAATCTGTCTCTGTCACGGCCAAAGAAGCAGAAGACAAATATACTAAAGAAATGATGCAACATTCATCTGATTTACAGGTAAATTTAGTGATAAAAAAGGATATATTTATTAATTTTTATAATTAATATTAACTGATTATTATTTATTTATTAATTTTATAATTATTTATAATTAATAGTTATTATAAATTTATAATCTATTTTTTACATAAATATTTTTGTAGATTTTGGCAAAACTGAAAGAAGAAGCTCAGCAAGTTCAACAGCGACTTGACATTCTGACTCAAGAACGAAATGCAGCAGTAGAAGCTCTCGAAATTGAGAAATCAGCCTCGAAACAAAGAGAACAGAAATTCATGAACGAGCTCAATGAAGCCCAAACAAGAATCACAGATCTGGATACTCAAAATGTACTTTTACACAATCAGATTCAGGAATTGGGTGATCGAATAGCCATCATGCAGAGTCAACAAACCAAAATAAGTGGAAGAGATAGTCCTGATACGAGTCTGGAAATTCTAAATAAGAGTTTCTCCTCTTTGGAAGAAAATTCTAATTCAATTGAACAGTTGTTGAAAGTTATGAAGTATTTAAGAAGAGAGAAGGACTTGGCTTTAGCCAAATCTGATGTTCTTCGAGCTGAAAATCTTAGATTGAAATCACAAATCGAAGTAATGGGGAAACGGTTAAAAGAAACCGAAATTTTGCTCAATTCTGAGCGAGAGAAAGCTGAGATTGATATAAGGACTACATCCAAGCATGCAGAATTATTGCGCAAAGTAGAGACCTTAAATGCCATCACAGATTCTAATCGAATTCTCAGAGAAGAAAGAGATAATCTGAGTATGAAAGTTAACGAACTAACAGCTAAAGTAAATGCTTTATCAGAAGAAGTAATACCTCTTCGAGACATATCCAGAGATTTAACAGCTAAAACTGAAGCTTTAACAGAAGAAAACAATAGTTTGAAAGGCGAGGCAACCAGATGGAGACAAAGAGCGAATACATTACTGGAACGAGCGAATAAAGCCAGTCCTGAAGACTGGCGACGACTTCAAACTGAAAGAGAAAACCTGAGCAAGTTATTAACATCCGAAAGAGAAACTTATGCAAAAAAAATTGAAGAATTTAATCAGATGAAAACAGAGAAAGTAAAACTCGAGGAACAGCTGACACAATTACAAAAACAGATACAAACCCAAGATGAACAAATGTCACGAGCATCAGAAGAAGCTCGCAAATTAGGTCAAGATCTTAATGAGGCATTAGCTGATTCTTCTTCAAAGGCAAAGGATTTGATATCTCTTAAAAAGGAACTTGGTGAAAAAGAGGTCATTCTTAATGATATTAGAAATAAGGAAATTCAGATACGCAAAATAGCTAAGAAATATAAAACACAATTTGAGGAACTTGCGAGAACCGTCGAGGAAGAAAAAAATCGCAGTGAAGAAACTAGAAACGAGGGCACTTCTGGTATAACAACGCAGGAACGAGAAGATCAATTGCGAGAAGAAGGTCGCCAAGAGCTCCGTCAAGCGAATACAGAACTCATAACGAAAATAGATGACTTAACTCGTCAAATGACAGCGGCTCAAAGTGAGACCGATAATTTGAGAAAGGAAATTGAGGCTATGAACCGTAATAGTGTAGAGAAGGAGGAGAGGGCAAAACAAGTTCTTAAGGGAGCCAGAACGAAAATTATGCAGCTGACCGAATCGAAGAAAGTATGCGAAAAAGAATTATTAGATTTAAAATCCAGAATAGAGTCCGTAGGAAGCAATACAGGAGTTCAAGGAGATTCTGATACTGAACATGACGCGCGATTAGTAGCACTGAAATCACAGATGGAAGGTCGTATTTCTAGATTGGAACATGAGAAATCAGAGATACAGGCTGAGAAAGAAGCGCTTTTGCTGCGAGTTACTCAACTCCAGAGGCAATTGTCAGGAGTGAGTGCTATAAGCGCGACTACGGAACCACCGACAGCAAATATTAAACCGATGTCAGCCAGGGCAGAAACACCACTGGCCAGTATCAGACCAATGAGCGTGGTAGTTCAATCGCGAACGGCTGCCGTTTTACCGACTACAGCTGGTGCACCAGTTATGGTTGCTCCACATCAAATGCAGCAACAGGTAGTGCATACTACAGAGACGAGTTCACCGACTAGCAGTCTTACCGACTTCCAACCGGCTAGTACTAGTAGTTCTTCGCAAAGTGCACAAACTAGCAGTCTACGCCAGTTGGTGGTACAACCTCAACTAAGTGAATCAGCGGAATCGACGCAGAGAGAAGATCCAGAAAGTGCGGAAACACTTAATTTGCAGCCGCAACAGCAACAATGTCAGCAACAACAACAACAGCAGCAACAGACTGTTGCATTAGTAAGCCCCAGAGTGGAACAGCAACAACAACAGCAACAGATCACTATCAGTGATCAACAGCAGACTGTAGCAAGCAGCTCTACACAATCAGTCAGTACTTCTCAAGCTTCCACAGGACTTAAAAGATCCCGAGGCTTAGACTCAACTGCTTCCGGTTCGGGAATAATTGAAGGATTGGATCACGGACGTCAGGAGCAAGTGCAGAGTCCAAAAACTAAAAGAAGTAGACAGGACATTAGTGCAACTGCAAGTGCCAGCGCTTCGGAAGTGGAGTATCAAGTAAGAATGATAAAAAGAAAAAAAAAGAATGAATTATTTATAATTTTCTGTTTTTTATCTAATTTTATTTAATTTTCTGTTTTCATATAATTTCAAGAGTAGTGTTTTAACTCCAATATTAATAATGGCCCAGGTACCCACATCAAGTCAGAGAGATCAAGATGAAGAAGTAGAAGAGGGTTGTGTAGTAGTAGTAGACTGTGATGAGGGTGAAGGTGGAGGCAATCATCAAACCCAGGAAGAAGAAGAATTTGACAATGATCCGTACGAAGAAATGGAGGAAGAAGAAGAAATGCCCTATGAAGTGGAAGTTGAAGTTGAACGAGACAACAACGAGGTAGAAATTATCATGGAGGAGGATTCTACCAGTGTTGAAATCCCTAGACAAGGTCAAGCCACTATTCCTGCCAATCAGCAACAATCTGAAGCCATTAGCAGCGCTGGACCAACAGGCGAGCCTCCCACGTCTTTTACAACAAGATCATCTAGAGGCATTGCACCTATGCCTAGACAACAGCAACAGCAACATCTTCTTTTGGTTGATATTTAAAACATTTATGACACATATTTTATTTATCAAACTTTATGAAATTTATATCATAATGTAACTTATCGTTATTTTTTTTTTTCTAAAAGCCACAACAAGGTTACGAGGATGGTGGCGACGATTGCATCGTACCAAGCACACCTACTCTCTTCGTTCCTCGTCGCGACGGTTTTGGTGAAGCTGTTAGCTCTCCGCAGGTGCCACAAGGTCGTTTCACTTTTGGAGATTCTTCGACACCTACAACCGCTTCTTCAACGCCATCCTTGACAACACCTACAGGCTGTACTACTAGAATCTTTGGTTCAACTGCTTCTGCCGTGGTTCAGGTTGTCCAAGAAAGCCTAGAGGACAACAGAATTGATTTGACACAACTGGAAGATGGTGGAACTGGTCGTAGTGTTCCTACCACGCCGCTTCAAGTTTCTCCAGCTGCAGATTTGCCTCCTTCGGTAAAAAGGAAAATTTCTATTCTTTACTATAATTCCTATAAAAACTTAATATTATTATTTAATTATGTTATTATTTGATGTTCTACAATTTTTTTTATAATTCTCATTGTAACAGACCAGTAGCCAATCTGAAGAACAAGAGACAACTGTGGCCCCTGTTGCTGTAACAGCCACTTCCGGAGATAATTCCGAAGAAACTAACATTCCCAGTATTCGCATTGTCGGTGCAGATGACCAACAACATGGTCATCTAACTGAAGCCACAGAATCTACAACTCCAAGCGAAGGTCTTATTAAATCTAATTAAATTTATCAAAAAAGTTTAGTTTATAAGAAAATAAGTACGAATAAAAATCTTATCGTTTTTTTTCTTTTTATAGGTGTGAGTTTGGAAAGTGAAAAACGAGGGGAAGAACCGGTTGCTTTAGCATCCGGGGAAGATGACACCGTAGACACGGTAGAAGCGACAGAAGAAGCAGGAAACGAACTTGCTGAAGACGAAGTTGAAGAGGAAAATCGCGAAGCAGAGGCCTCGCCATCCAGTAATACTCGTCAAAGAACAATGGCAGCGAGTCTAGCAGCCGCAGGCGATTCTAATAGTGCCAGAGGAGTAACAGTGAGAAGATCACCGAGGTCACCCTTCAGGGCGGCAAGAGGCGCGAGGCCTACTCCAATTGTGTGGGGAGAAACCCAGTCGGGTAGAGGTAGACATAACAATAGCGCGATTAAATAAGTTTTAATTTATTTCGACAACGAAATAAGTCTTGTCAGTTTTGTTGTCACTTGTGTGTTCGTTTTAGAGATAAATGATTTATTCTTAGTAACTTTCAACATATTACAACTTATTCAACATAAGTGTAACATACGATTAATATATTTCATCACTTTCATATAAGTGAAATATGTATCTACTTTCTCTATCAATGTTTTCTGTATAAATAATAAATATATATTTAATATATAAATATTATATATGTATGCGTATATGTATGCTATCTCTGTTTGCAGGACAACCTGTGATGCGAGGACATGCAACTAGAGGGTCTACCAATGAAGGGGGACGAGGACGAGGGGCGCGAGGCCGACGAATGCGCTCGAAATATCCTTATGCTCGATATTCGTAATGTTGGACATCATCTTCTGTGTTTTGTGTATGTTTTTATTCGTCAAATAGATTGTAATGTCGATTTATGTTAAACAAGAATAAAAGAAAT